TGAGTGGTCTACACAGGCAGGGAACGGGAGGCAGAGGGAAGCCGATTCTTTCCTAGGGTCTGCTTCGATGACAGTATGAAAGGTTGGCAAACTGGTTAGGAGTCTTCATGCTCTTTCGCTGGGTACTGAATTTTCTGGTCCATGGGAAAGGATAGCAAACAGACAGTTGCCTAACACCTTATAGTATGATCAGACACACACTGGAGGCAATGCTAGATGCCCTCCAAGCACTCCTTTACATGTACGTACGTTCATCATTTAAGAGCTAACGAATACACTTAATTGATGATGACACAGAAGGACTACAGAACTTTAGCTTAGGCTTAGGAAAACACAAATAGCATAAAAGCCAAAAAAAAAAAAAAAAAAAGACTTCCATGATGAGTCCCTGACCTGAAGCTATCGTTGTATCGTTGGGTGGTATTCCCTGGTTTTGAGAGTACTCTGCAGGCAAATACCTGAGAGGCTTTGTTCTCTCTGTTCCACTTTAGGTTCCCTGTGGCCCCAGTCAGGCAGCCCGTCTTCCCGGAAGCTGCTGTATGCCCGGATGTTGGGAGACAGGGAGACAGGGAGAACGCAAACAATACAGAGCCTCTAATTTCAGTGAGGGTCCTAGACAGTGATCACTCAACCTAATACGTCCTTTCAGGTCCCAACTCTTGTCACACATGAAAAGTGCTATAAAAATGGTAAATATAGGGAAATGGGGGGTAGGCAGTCGAGGGGGACCCTCAAAGCTCTGATGAGATGACGTGAGAATGGAGAGCCACAGGATGAGAATGGGGTGGGGGGCATCCGTGTGACTGGAGAAGCACCCCAGTCAGCAGGGGATGAGGAGGAAGGAGCTTGGTACCACAGCGTGTGAAGCAAGAACATTCCAGCAGCTGAGGTAGAAGTCGACAGGGATGAGCCCCTGTGCAGTGGTGCTGGATCAGCGACGAACTGGGGGATGGAGGCTGGACCATGGGGAAGGTGTTGCTCTAGACGAGGCTGGAGATGACACTGACTCAGATCAAGGTTAGAACAGTGGGGAGAGGCAGATGTGGAACAATCCATTCATTCCACATGTGAATTAATGGTGTGAACACCAGTCACCAATTACTGCTTCAGGCCCTGGGGGTATCACTGGGGTAGGGGGGAGATGGACAGTAATTCCCCCTCCTCCTGGAGCCGCCGCTGCAGGGGGAGAGATTAGAGGGAGAGACCCCGGGGTGAGAAGAGGGCCCGAGGAAGGCAGACATGCATTAGGAGGGAAATGAACAGGGCGGTCGAGGAACAGTGGCCTGAAGAAGTAGGGCGTCATGGTGGGCAGAATGCCCCAGTTCCCCATAGGCTTGGGAACTGGTGCCAAGAGGGCTGTTTTTTTCTGCTTCTCTGAGATATTACTGGCATTAATGTAAGTTTAAGGTGTACAATGTGATAATTAGATACATGTATACATTGCAAAATGATTACCACGATAAAGTTAGTAAACACCTCCATCCTCTTACATCAGTGTAATTTGTGTGTGTGTGTGGAGATAACATTTAAGATTGACTCCTCTAACAACTTCCAAGAATACCGTATTGTCAGTTCTAGTCTCCACGCTGTACCGGCGATCCCTAGATCTTATTTATCTTTGAGCTAAGAGTCTGTACCCTTTGACCAGCAGCTCCCCATTCCCCCCACCTCCCAGCCCCTGACAAACTACCATTCTAGCTCATCTTTTCTATGCATTTGGCTTTTTTCGATTCTACGTGCATGTGAGAACATAACGTGTGTGTCTCTGTGTCTGACACTGCAGTTAGCACAAGGCCCAAGAGGACTGGGCATGTGCAGCGTCCGGGGAGACAGGCATCAGGAATGACCCTTTGATTTTCGACAGGTGCAATTCAGAGAATGGGAATGCCACCCACTGAGCTATGGGAGCGCCGGAGGTGGATTTTGTGGGGGGAAGGGAATGAGTTATTAGACACCTAAATGGAGACGTTGAGTCGGCAGATGGGTGTGAACTCTGGAGCTGCCCCAAGGATATGCAGTTGACAATCATGCAGTGTGTGGGTGGCACAGGAGGCCACTCGTCCACGTGAGAGGGCAGAGAGGGGGAGGCTGAGGCCAGAGGGCAGCATTTAGAGGTCAGGTGGGAGAAGAGGGGTGAAGGGGCGAGTGGAATCAGAGAGGCCTTAGGATGGAGGCGATGTCAAGTGGCTAAAAGGGTCGAGTCACGGGAGAACAGGGACCGGTCATTGGCTTTGATAACGTCATCAGGGGCTCCGCAAAGTGTGCTTCAGTATCATGATTGGGGCAGAAGCTTCTTCAGAGTGGTTTAGGGTGACCCGTTGATGAGGATGCTGAGAGCTGGGGCACTCCAGAAACCATGTGTCAAGTTCCACTTCTCCAGATCTGCTTCCTCACCTTCAAAGTAGCGATGATAATAGATGATAATACGTAGTGTGGGATGCTACTGAAAGGCTCCCATGAGGTGAAACAAAATGAAACAAAGTTTCCTTCACAGCCTTTGTCTGGCATGGAATGTTCTCAGAGCGCTGGTTTCTCCATTCTCTTCTCTGTTGTAGAGGCTTCATTTTCTCATCAGTGAAAGAAGGCAGTTGGACCAAGTGAGGTGTCAGGTTCTAGGTTCTCAAGCCTTGCTTGCTCCTCAGCTCTTGGGTCCCCTGGACCTCATCCCCTGCCTGCCATTCTCTGTCCAATTTGTGTCTATGGCTCTAAGCCCTGCTGGATATCTCTCCCCTTTTCCCTCACCTGCTCCACTTCGATTCTGTCTTATACCAGAATATTCTTCCCAAAAAAGGCCTCCTTAGGACTTCTCTTTCACTCAGGAGTCTTGAGAGCGGCCTCATTCCTGAGATGAAAGTTTCCATCCCCACCTGTGACCTTTTATGACTTGGACTCTACTGAACTCATTTCCTCTGCTCTTCTCTACACCCCTAGCCATCAGCCTCACTGGCCCTTGAGTGTATCTTGTTCTCCCTTTTCTCTGGCCTCTGGAATGTTGATACCCAGTTTTATTTTTTTTAATGATTTTTATTTATTTATTTGAGAGAGAGAGAGCAAGCACGAGATGGGGGAGGGTCAGAGGGAGAAGCAGACTCCCTACCAACCAGGAAACTCAATGTGGGGCTCGATCCTAGGACCCTGGAATCATGACCTGAGCCAAAGGCAGACACTTAATTGACTGAGCCACCCAGGTGCCCCTTAATACTCAGTTTTAAATCCTATAGGAGCCAGAGCTTTCCTGGGCACTCCAGTAGAAAGGACCTTCTCTACAGGAAGCTCCAAGGCTACCCCATCTGTCCTGCTTAGTTCCATTCCCATCTACAGTGGATTTACACCACTGTATACCACTGACCACCTTCTGCCTCATATGGCGATTGTTTGTCATGGGTCTTAGCTTGTGTCCTTCACCGTGAGCCTCCTCAGAGGGCAGACACGGCTTCTTTGACTCTCTTATAGCATCCTACGTGTTGAGTGCTCCAAAAATTAATGAATTACATCCATCAGAAAACTTGACTCCGTCTGAGAAGCTTTAATGGAAGGCTTGGGATTATTAAATCGTAAGAAAGGATATTAACCAAGGTTTGTGTCTGTGGGTCTGTGTACGTGTCTAGTATTTTAAAAATAAAGTCTCCAGTATCGAGGCTGTTGTATCAAAAGCTCTTCAGATCTGCAGATGTCTTGGTCCAGCAATTCTACGCCTAGGGATTTATCCCAAGAAAATAGTCTTGGACATTTGCCGAGAATATTCACTCGAGTGGTGTTTATGATGTGAAAAACTGGAGATAAACTAAATATCCAAAGATAGGGGATTGGTTTAAGAAAAATAAAAGAACCAGGGGTGCCTTGGTGGCTCAGTTGTTGAGCATCTGACTCTTGGTCTCGGCTCGGTCATGATCTTGGGGTCTTGGGATCGAGCTCCACATCAGACTCTGGGCTCAGTGTGAAATCAGCTGGAGATGATCTGCTTTCCCCTCTCCCTCTGCTTCTCCCTCTGCTCATGCTCTTTCTCTCTCTCAAATGAATAAATAAACAAATAAAATAAAATAACTCATGGTGCATATTTGTACCCTATTTACTGTCTCCTTCAAGTAGTAACATAGAAGGACATCTATTGACTTGGTGAAATGTTCATATTAAGTGCAGGAAGGAAATCTTTTCTGATTTCCTTTACCTTAATTAAATTACTTCTGGAGAAAGGATCACTGGTATAGGCACTTGGTAATAGTGATTATCTTTGGATGTGGAGATACGGATGATTTTTACTGTCTTTCTGCCATCTTTTACCAAACCTCTCTATAGGAAGCTTGTTTTCTTGCTTCATAAAATAATTTTTTTGAAATTGGGATGGCATACCTCTTTTATCCATAGAAATCACACGTTCTTGCCTCTCTGTTGAGTTAGGCTTTGTATCTGTATTCATACAGTATTGGGGAAGAACACAAGGCCACCTGACCCGTGTCAGATGGTAGCAAGAAATGTGAGAACTTGCTTCTTTAGATCCTTGCTTTGTAGGTCACGGTGACTGTCCTCCCGCGCAGACTTCATTGCTTGGGGTCCTTGCGGCTGGCTGCAGTAGTAGGTTGTTGTTCTGTGGCTGCTGAGCGGTTTGTTCAGACTTTGGGCACCGGGGCTGTGCAGGAGGCATGAGGGGTGGGGGTGTGCAGCCTGGCAGGTGCAGAGCTTTGACTGTGCGACCTGGACTCTCATCTGTGCTCCTGTGTGACCCTGGGCTCTAAGCTGTGGTTTGTACATAAGCAGGGTGGGGATGACCCTCCCCACGGTCCCTGAGGATGTTGCACGACATCTGGCCCAGTGCAGATGCGCCGTGAATGGCCGCAGATAGCCCATACCTAACGTTAGTCCCCGGTGAAGAATGGGGACTTTAATCGTCATAATGCAGGTGTCCTGAAAAACGGGCCCTATCGTGGGTTGGGAAATAGTTCAGAAAACGATTTCCTTGTAACTCAGACATGTCCCACCTTTGCCCTCTTGTCTCCTCTCAGTCTGCGGGCCGGGCATCGACATCCGCAATGACTATCAGCAGCTAAAGCGCCTGGAGAACTGCACGGTGATCGAAGGCTACCTCCACATCCTGCTCATCTCCAAGGCAGAGGACTACCGCAGCTACCGCTTCCCCAAGCTCACAGTCATCACCGAGTACCTGCTGCTGTTCCGCGTGGCCGGCCTCGAGAGCCTTGGGGACCTCTTCCCCAACCTCACGGTCATCCGCGGCTGGAAACTCTTCTACAACTATGCCCTGGTCATCTTTGAGATGACCAATCTCAAGGATATTGGACTTTACAATCTGAGGAACATCACCCGGGGGGCCATCAGGATTGAGAAGAATGCTGACCTCTGTTACCTCTCCACGGTGGACTGGTCCCTGATCCTGGATGCGGTGTCCAATAACTACATCGTGGGGAACAAGCCCCCGAAGGAGTGCGGGGACCTGTGTCCGGGGACGATGGAGGAGAAGCCCTTGTGCGAGAAGACGACCATCAACAACGAGTACAACTATCGCTGCTGGACCACCAGCCGCTGCCAGAAAAGTAAGGAGACGCGGTTGTGGCTTTCCCTCTGCTTGTCTTTCCCCCTCCTGCTCTCCCTCGCCTCCCTCCTCTTCTGAGCGCTGGTGGCTTCTGCTGGGGGTTCTGCAGGGAGGGCGGAGGGCGTGGTTGTGTCACACTGAGGAGGAGGCCGCCTGCTGGGTGCAGGCAGGGGTCTTGGCTGGCTTCCTTTTGCATCCAAGAACTCGAGAACTTGGGGAATGCAGGACCCCGTCATGGCTGCCATCAAGAGCATCCCAGTCGTGTCCTAGAAATAATCCAGCACCTTCGGGACCAGAAGCGTGCTGACCTTGAGCTTTGGATTCTAGTGAGAAAGGTGACCCGGTGTGCTTCGGAGGTCCCCAGGCTCCAGCAGTCAGGGACTGCTTATGCATCAACTGGGTTCATCCTTTGTGGGAAAAGACAGATTTGGTTGTGGCGGGACTTCCTTAGGAGGACTGTACTTGGAATAATGGTTGAATAAAGGGAAAGTCAAAATTCAATTCACATCTTGTGAAAGTGGGGACTTGCGCCCCATGCTTGGTCCCCAGGGATGGTCACGAGGCTTAGGTGTGCCTGTTTACGGCGGAGCACCTCGCCGACGTGGGAGAGCCCTGGACCGGTCCCTGGGAATCCCAGATTCAGGTCGTACTTGCAAGGAGCTGTGTAATGGGTGCCCTCCTACGCCCTGGGCTTCCATTTCCTTTTTCCCCCACCTTTTCCTCCCCAAAGAGTTGTGCAGATCTTCTGAAATCGCCTACTGAAAGAATTTTGAAATGTGTTCCTGGCGCTCCAGGTTCCGGGGGTGATACTTTGAAGCTGCTTCTTTATCAGGAACATGCTTTATTCTTCTCTCGAGTATAACCAGACTCTTGAGTTATTGTGATCAATTATGTGGAGACCCAGGTTGTTTGCTATTAGAAGGCAAGTCTGGGCCTTTGCCGCGTTGCTTTCAGCAATGTTCAGGTATGTTGGCTGGGAAGGTTCCTCTCCCTGGTGTGGAAGTCAGTGTGGTAGCTATAAATAGCTATTATTTAATGGTTGGCCCAGTTAACGACCGAGGAGCTCATGTGTTCTAGCTGGTCATGAAGAGCCAAGGAATCCCAAACTGGTAGGCTTGCCTAAACCATGAAGTGTATAAAATAAACAAATCAAAGGCCAGACCCCACAGGTAGCTGTTCTTTTTGTTCCCAGTCCAGCCAGGGTGGAAGCCGGGAAAGGGAAGGTTTCTTTGGCCCAGCACACACGTTTACGCTATCAATCCACCCATGTGTCCGTGAACATCTGATAAATAAGGGAGGGGGTCTCGTTGGCTGTAACCAGGACGTTGGATGGCCGAGGACGCCATCAGGCTTCTTGAAGAGTCCCTTTCGGCTGGGGTTGGAGGAAGGTACGACGCTGATGTCCCATTTGTGATTGATTAAAACTGTACCCGACCCTTAGGTTACCCACTGGTTTTGAGAAAACAGCAAAAACACCTTTTTAAGGAGTCTTGACCTTTTAAAATTTTGTTTTAAAAGAAAACGGCGTCATCAGGGGAGGCATCCTGTGTGGTGGGAAGGGGTTGGATGCCATCTAAGGGGCCCAGGTGACCTTGGACCAGCCAGTCCTTCTGGGCTGTAGTTGGGTATCGTCAGAACATTTCTTAGGGCAGTCCCATGTTATTCCTTAGTGACAACCAAACATGTGCACAAAACTGCTTTGGAAACTCATCAGCTCTGTACAAAAGGGAGATGTTATTTAAAAAGTCATCAGGTGGGCGCTTGTTCAGTGACCCATTTGGTATCTACTCTGGGGTTGCTGTGGACTTTGGCTGTTTCTGACCAGCAGGTTGTTGAAGAAGCCGGGAGCAGGGGTGGGTTCTGGGTCCAGGTCTGGTAGCAAGTAATTTAAGTGGCCTGGCCCTCTGTTTTTTTGTGTTTGTGTTTTTGTTTTGTTTTGTTTTGTTTCAATCTGGAGAGATCCTGCCCTTTCTCATAAGGATTATTTAAAAAAAAAAAAAAAAAGGAAAAATACCAAAAAAAACAATGGGGTTAGAAACTGGGCCTTGGTGCTGGTATGGCTGGTGCTGACAGGCCTGTTGGCTGGACCCCGGCTTGCCCAAGGCCACACCCTGCAGCCTTCTCCCCTGCCAGTTGTCTCAGTCCGGCTGACGTGTTTCTGAGATTTTAGGAGGGCGTATTTATTGAGAATCGTGAACAGCATTCGAGGAAACTGTCTTCCCTCCATTTTGGGCTTTGAGGAAAACTCCAGCATAGGCAGGTGTCCCTGAGATTTTCCCATTGAACTGGAACTCTCCCTTTGCATAGAGTCCCTTGAGACCTGTGCTGTGCGGTGTGACAGCCACTAGCCACATGTGGCTGACTGCATGCTTGAATGTCCTCCGGTGCGAACAGAGACTCGCTTGAAGTATAAAATACACTGGGTTTCAAAGACCCAGTATGTATGAGGGAGAAGAAGTAAGGTTATCGCCTTAGTAGTTTGTAATGTATTGACTCTGTGTCGAAATGGTAATATTTTGGACCTGTAGGTTAAGTAAGCTATGTTATTAAATTAATTTCACCTGTTTCTGTAGCTTTTCACATGGTTACTAGAGCATTTGAAATGACAGGTGGGGCTTCCATTCTCTTCAGAGTACTCCCCCTATGGCCATGCGTTCTCCTCCCCCCCCCCCCCCCCCTCCCCATCTTGTCTGTGGCTGAGCACTGCGGTGCTGTGGTATTCCTACCCCTCTCCAGCAGGATGCTGACGAACCGTTCAAGGAGCCAGGTGAAGGGCATTGAGTCTGGATAGCGTGTCATTTGCCGGGAAGTCAACATGAGCGTTAAGGTGGCCATTGAAAACGATGAAGTGTGGCAGAATCCCATTGAGCTGTTCTTCACAGGGTTGTCTACGGAGGGAGGGAGAGCATCTGGAGAGCTACGTCGAATCAAGGATGTGTGTGAAATTTTTGACATCACGGAGAAACACTCAATTATGGAGTGCCGATACGCGGTTTCTACTTGACGCTCTCCCTTAAACTCCTTCTTTTCTTTCATGACTGTGGCAGCTTCATGGACAGCCCCATTAAGGAAATGACGACTTTGTGGGTTCCCGGCACACTTCTGTATTTCTCTGTTGTCTTATGATTTGGAGGGGTGGTTTTATTTATTTCTTTGAGATAGAGAGCATGAGCAGGGCAGAGGGACAGAGAGAGAGGGAGAAGCAGACTCCCTCCGGAGCCAGGACCCCGATGTGGGGCTCGATTCCAGGACTCCCTCCAGGATTATGATGTGAGCCAAAGGCAGATGGTTCACCCACTGAGCCACCCAGGGACCCCTGGAGGGGTGGTTTTATTGAGGCTTGAGTTACTCCTAAAAGGTGACCAACTCTTAAAAAAGTTGTGTATGGCATTTTCCTTTCAGTAGAAATGGGACCATGCCCGTGACATTCAGCACTGGTGATTCCTCCTCCCCTGCCTTCTGGCAGCGCTTCTCTTCCATCTCTACAGCTGTTTCTTGGTGGGCTCCTTTCCCTTGGTTGAGGCTCTGATGACTAGTGGTCTCCAGACTTCCATCCTAGGCCCCTTTTCACTGTCCTTGTTCCCCCAGGATGTCCCATCTGACGCTTAAGCACCCTTCCATCTGCACCTCGTCTGCAAATACCATCTGTAGCCTAGACCTCTTTGTGAGCCCCAGACCCACAGATCCATTCCTGTCCAGAGAGCTGTGGGCGACTCCATGTCTGCTGGGCTTCTCTGTCTCCTCACCTCTACCCGTTGTCTTTGTTGGACTTCCCCTTCTGCATGGGCAGCATTCTTGGGCTCCCCACTCCCAATCAGAAACGTGGGTGTCCTCTGGATGCTCCCTCCTCCATTTGAGGGACAAGCCCTGTCCATCATACATGTTTCCCAAATCTGCTATCCCCTGCCCTTCCATGACCCGGCCTCTCTCCAGCCTCTCCGTGCTGGTGCCTGGGCCCAGGGAGCTCCCTTAACCGACACTCTGACCAATAGCCCACCCCACCCCCACCTGAAATCCTGTAGTGGGAGCCCGTGAGTGCTCGTGAAACTGGGCCATGCCCCTGATAAGCCACCTCCCTGCCTTCTGCCAGCAGTATCCTTGGCCCGTGACGGTGTGCTTCTGGCAGACTCCGTGCCCGTTGGCGGAGGACTTTGGGACTCTGCAGGCTCTGGTGGGCCGTCTCGCCACAGAGAAGCCTAGCAGCAGCCCTTTCTCCATCGCCAAATAAATTCTGGGCGTGTCCTCCCAGTCGTGGAGAGCATGGCTGTCACCCCAGGGGCGAGCATGGCACCTGCTTTGTGAAAGATTTATGCTCGGGAAGATCTGTTTCCCACCTTGAGCAGACATCAGTGGGTGGTGACAGTCCCCGGCAAGCCAGAAGATTCAGGGATTGCGAAATGCGGATGTTTTTTGTGTCATTTTCCTGGTCGGTCCTTGCTCCCCAGGAGCGAGGTCACCAAAACTCTTCTTCAGCTCTTCACCAGCAGGGAGGGTCAGCCATGGACGGTCGTAGCTCCTTTCTCACCCGCCCTTGTCAGAATGATTCAAGGCCAAAGATGGTGGAGAAATACGGGAATCATCTTCAAAGTCAAGGCTTGGCCTGTGGCGCCGTTTGTTACTTTGGACGGCAGTCATATGCTGAAAGCCGACCAGTGCAAGGAGGGAAGAGGGGGCAGATACTCTCGTAAGAAGTGGTTCTCTTCCTGCCCCGTGAATTGCCTCAGTGGTGTCTGCTGTTCGCTTGCCCTTGGGGCTTTCTGGTACTTGTTTGCAGATCTAGAGATCCCCTCACCAAAGCAAACAAACACACACAAAAATCTAAAACTTCCTCCTAAATTTAACGTCTCCAAGTACTTCTTAACCCAACAGAATGGACAGTTTAGGGTCTGCTCAGATCACTGTGTTGCCCATGGGAAGGCCTGGTCTTTGGCAGAAAATGCATGAAGTTGGCAAGCCTGGCTGTGGTGCAGACTGGCTTTGTTGGTGGTGCAGCCTTATTTC